GGTTAATGAATACGGTTTTGACTTCCACCCACCTTGGCAGCCTGCTGGGAAAAAATGAATCTCCTTCAGTCTTGTTAAGCAAGCAGCCATTCTAGAACTGATAAGGATGACATGTGATAGATGCCTGCCTGCTTCCTCTTATCTCTCCCGACTCTTTGAAAAGTTCCTTGGGCAAAAAGAAAGAAAGAAAGAAATAGGGAGGAAAAAATTTACCAAGGTATTGGGGGAGTAAGGTTCCCCCCCCCCTGTTAGATGAAAGCAAGGCAAGGGGTTGAATATTCTTTCAGAGTCCTGTCTGGCCTGGTCCTATCTTGTTTGGACCATTGGTGCCACTGGTTTGGAGTTAGTAGTGGATATAGTGATGACCCTGTGCACAGGTGGCTTTAAAGGTGGGTTAGAGAGATTCACGGAGGAGTGGTCTGTCAATAACTACTAGCCATAGTGACTAATGAGAACCTCCATATTCAGAGGTTTCAGTGCTAGCAGGTAACAGCCGTAGAAGGCCTTAGCCTCCAAACAGAAGAGAGCAATGAGGGCCCCGGTCACACAGGAGGATTTGCCCCGCAAGAGGGACAGATCGGGGGCGCATCAAGCACACCGCAACATCTGGGAAGCATCACGCACCCATCCCCGATCCGTCCCTTCGGCCCGAAAATGCACATTTAAAAGGTACTAGCAACAGAGCACTACCTTCCGGATGATGTGCGGCAACTCCAGGCGTCTGGTCGGGGAAGCGCTGGTAGCCCGTCGCAGCCAGCGCCGTTCCCCATCCCACGCATGCGCACAACTGTGCTACTGCCGGTTTGCTGCACAACATTTGATCAGCTGCCAGAGCATAGAGCCGTGGGGGCACGTCAGATTGCACTCCCGCGGTTCTTTTTGCTCCGGCTCTAATTTGCCTCCTTTTGGCAGTGGATCATCCCGCTCGTTTGACCGGGATCAAGGATGATCAGGGGCCTGGGGACCAAGCCCTACGAGAAAAGTAGGGTTGCCAAGTCTGGCCCACAAGCCGGCGGTGGACTTACAAGGAGGCTCGAAGAGAGGGGAGGGAAGAAGCGTGACGTTCCTATGCCCCCTCCAGGTGACGTACACGTCAGGGATGTCAGTGACGTGCCTACATCACCCGAAAGTGACATACACATATTGGTGACATCGTGGGGGCTACACTCTGTTTTGGGGGCAAAACTCTATGGTTTGAAGCTAATTCTACCATAGAGTTTTGTCCAGAGTGTCACCAGATGTTAGGCACTTTTATGTAGTGGCCCATCACTTGTGGCCCCTCATGGATCACTGCCTTGTCGTGGCGAGGGGGCTTGCGCAGTTCAATGAAGCTGTGGGCTATGCCGTGAAGGGCCACCCAAGACGGACAGGCCACAGCAGAGAACTCAGACCAAGCGTGATCCACCTGGAGAAGGAAATGGCAACCCACTCCAGTATTTTTGCCAAGAAAACCCCATGGACAGTATCAAAAGGCTAAAAGATATGACGCCGGAAGATGAGCCCCTCAGGTCGGAAGGTGTCCAATATGCTACTGAGGAAGAGCAGAGGACAAGTACAAGTAACCCCAGAAAGAGTGAAGCGGCTGGGCCAAAGCCGAAAGGACGCTCAGTTGTGGATGTGTCTGATGGTGAAAGGAAAGTCCGATGCTGCAAAGAACAATACTGCATAGGAACCTGGAATGTAAGATCTATGAATCAAGGTAAGCTTGACGTGGTCAAAAATGAGATGGCAAGACTGAACATCGATATCCTAGGAATCAGTGAACTAAAGTGGACAGGAATGGGCGAATTTAACTCAGAAGACCATTATATCTACTACTGTGGCCAGGAATCTCGTAGAAAAAATGGTGTGGCCTTTATAGTCAACAAGAGAGTGCAAAAGGCAGTACTGGGATACAATCTCAAAAATGACAGAATGATTTCTGTCCGATTCCAAGGCAAACCATTCAACATCACAGTAATCCAAGTCTATGCCCCAACCACTGATGCAGAAGAGGCTGAAGTGGACCGGTTCTATGAAGACCTACAACACCTCCTAGAACTAACACCAAAAAATGATGTCCTCATCATCATAGGGGACTGGAATGCTAAAGTAGGAAGTCAAAAGGTAACTGGAATAACAGACAAGTTTGGCCTTGGAAAGCAAAATGAAGCAGGGCAAAGGTTAACAGAGTTTTGTCAAGAGAACACACTGGTCATAGCGAACACCCTTTTCCAACAACCTAAGAGGCGACTCTACACATGGACATCACCAGATGGGCAACACCGAAATCAGATTGACTATATAATTTGCAGTCAAAGATGGAGAAGCTCTATCCAGTCAGTAAAAACAAGACCTGGAGCTGACTGTGGTTCAGATCATGAGCTACTCATTGCAAAATTCAGACTTAAACTGAAGAAAATTGGGAAAACCACGAGGCCATTCAGGTTTGACCTAGATCGCATCCCTGATGAATATACAGT